AAAAGTACTCTAAAAAAGGAATTCGAACAAATTTTTTTATAATAAAAACTCTTAATGTTTAAATACAGTCAGTAAAATTAAATTTTATTGCCCGTTTTTATATTCAAATTACTATCTAATCTTTATTTCGTGAATGTATATTGGGAAACTTTAAAAAGGGATTCGGACCAGTTCTCTTATAATTAAAACTCTTAATATTTAAATATGTTCAATGGACCTTCAATGTCAAATGGTACGCACCTTATTTTCCATACACGGGACGTTGGTACGATTGCCGAGTACAGAACAGTCAGGTACTGTACGTTCGATCGTCGTCCCTTGAGTGTCCCTATAAAACCTGATTTGCGGTGATACCCTGTCCGAATCGACAGCGGTAATGCCGATTTGTCTGTTATTGATTAAAGAACGGAGTAGATTCGTAGCCTCGCCAGTAAACCCGTTGTTCAGTTTATCGCCATTCGTCCTGGTGATCTCTAAACTCCTATTGCTACGTAAGAGAAAAGAAACGTATCCATTGAGATGATAAAATTGTTTGATCTACTGTCGGGCGAGCTGTTATCTTTAAAGGAATAATCTGTTACAACCGGTAGTTACTTCGGTAAATAAGCAAATATGTGTTCAGCACACAGAATTATGTTTGAACAGCCGAAATAAATGATTGATAATATAAACTGAATATGTTTACACTTAGGAATTATGTAAACATATTTTCTTCAGGTAAACAAAAATGCGTTGGCGTACGCTTAATCCCATAAATGGACTGCGGACTTCATGCATTTATGAAATAATTGAGTGTGCTGAAAATATGAATAATGCGTGTGATTTATTACTTGGAGAGCAAGAGCACAGTCCAAATATATGAACAGAATGTTTTTGGTTACAATTCCACCGCCCAGTGCCTTTCAAAATTCTCGTCATTAATATTTAGACACGTTTTAAAATAGAATAACATTTTTAATGTTGGACCAACAGATTTAATTTCTTCTTATGTTAGATGTTAGAAGATTTTGTTTTCTAGGCAATGTGTAGGAAGAAAGTTAAAAAATTACTGTTAGCCAGAATCACTTACGTTAGTCTAAAAATCTAAGTCTCCTAACAAAAATAAATTAGGTTGTCTGGTCTAACATTAGAAAAGTTATTCTGTTTTGAAATCCGCCCGAATATTAATGAGGGCTACTGTAACCAGACTGCGGATTTTAGGCATTCATGAAATAATTGAATATGCTGGCAGTATAAACGTTGCATGTCATGTACATAAATATACAAAATGTAAAACGATAAAAGAAATTGCAGTCTGAAATGGATTTTCATAGTTGACTACATTAAATCTTCTATTTTGCATACAAATGCACTGTCTACTTATTAACATAGATGGATTATGAATACGATAGATCTGGTAAACTGGAATGATTGAGAACAACTGATATTTGTATATATTCTAAAAGGAGATATTTCAGGTATCTTCAGAGAAAGTTATTATTCAGATCGTGGGATTAGGCCGATATTTAATAAAGTAAGTGTTACAAAATGAAGCAAAATTCGCAACTACGTTTCAAATTTTAAACAATCTCATTACAAAGAGTAATTGTTCTGAATAAAATAAGAACCAGACCACTCTGCAATGTATTTTAAAAACTAAACGTACATTAAACGAATTTTGTTTTCATTCGTTTGAGAAATTTTTTATTTGATTGGGAAGTAAATAGAATCGTAGAATCAAGTAACGTAATTGCATACTTTGCATTAAAATTTACTTTAGATAAAGTTTTCAAGCTGCATGAAAGATGGAAAGAGTGTCGAACAAAATAGCACTTATATAATTGAAGAAATCAATAAATGTATATCAAAATTTAAACGCGCTGCCTTTCAATTCTCTATAAAAATCGGAATGAACTTTCCCACACCGACAACCGAGTATAAAATATGTTTAACTCACTTTGCTAGCGCCTGCCATAACTTGGTCGTCTCTTGGTCGATGTTTGTATCCGAACAATTACTTTCAGGCGTGTCCATTCTGTTCACCGGGCTGCGATTCGGGGTACTCGATTTTGATTCCTCATAATTTTCCATTTTCATCCGTTTGTTAATGGTCATATCGTAACCGTTCTCTTCACCCTCTGTATCCTGCTCGTCCCGATCTTCGATCTCTAATCTGTCCGGATCGGAACTATTCGAGCACGTATCATCCTCTGGTTCACACTTAATGTTATCATGCTCGGGCATGTCATTGGCGCGCAACTCCAAATGATGCGTTTGCGTCTGAGGTATAACGTTTTGATTAATGCTGGCCGGAGAGTTAGGCTCCTCATTGAACAGCGTCTTGTTCAATTGGAGAAATGATTGTAGAGGACTTAAGCCTGCTACTTTGGCAGTGGAGAAAGATTTCTTCTGAAACAAAACGAATTGCTCACTACAAGTTCGCTAAGAACGAAATCTATTGGAAAATAGCAAACAATCTGATTTATTATTAAAAATATGCAAAGTATATTTCTTCTTCCTCACTGAGCAGTGTCTTGTTCA